TCTGAATTTCAAAATTTATAATATGGCCTGCGAACCTAGAATTTTTTATTTCATAATGTATTTGGAATTAGGAAAATTTCTGAATTTCAAAATTTATAATATGGCCTGCGAACCTAGAATTTTTTATTTCATAATGTATTTGGAATTAGGAAAATTTCTGAATTTCAAAATTTATAATAGGGCCTGCGAACCTAGAATTTTTTATTTCATAATGTATTTGGAATTAGGAAAATTTCTGAATTTCAAAATTTATAATAGGGCCTGCGAACCTAGAATTTTTTATTTCATAATGTATTTGGAATTAGGAAAATTTCTGAATTTCAAAATTTATAATATGGCCTGCGAACCTAGAATTTTTTATTTCATAATGTATTTGGAATTAGGAAAATTTCTGAATTTCAAAATTTATAATAGGGCCTGCGAACCTAGAATTTTTTATTTCATAATGTATTTGGAATTAGGAAAATTTCTGAATTTCAAAATTTATAATATGGCCTGCGAACCTAGAATTTTTTATTTCATAATGTATTTGGAATTAGGAAAATTTCTGAATTTCAAAATTTATAATATGGCCTGCGAACCTAGAATTTTTTATTTCATAATGTATTTGGAATTAGGAAAATTTCTGAATTTCAAAATTTATAATAGGGCCTGCGAACCTAGAATTTTTTATTTCATAATGTATTTGGAATTAGGAAAATTTCTGAATTTCAAAATTTATAATAGGGCCTGCGAACCTAGAATTTTTTATTTCATAATGTATTTGGAATTAGGAAAATTTCTGAATTTCAAAATTTATAATATGGCCTGCGAACCTAGAATTTTTTATTTCATAATGTATTTGGAATTAGGAAAATTTCTGAATTTCAAAATTTATAATATGGCCTGCGAACCTAGAATTTTTTATTTCATAATGTATTTGGAATTAGGAAAATTTCTGAATTTCAAAATTTATAATAGGGCCTGCGAACCTAGAATTTTTTATTTCATAATGTATTTGGAATTAGGAAAATTTCTGAATTTCAAAATTTATAATAGGGCCTGCGAACCTAGAATTTTTTATTTCATAATGTATTTGGAATTAGGAAAATTTCTGAATTTCAAAATTTATAATATGGCCTGCGAACCTAGAATTTTTTATTTCATAATGTATTTGGAATTAGGAAAATTTCTGAATTTCAAAATTTATAATATGGCCTGCGAACCTAGAATTTTTTATTTCATAATGTATTTGGAATTAGGAAAATTGTATTTGGAATTAGGAAAATCGTAAAAAATGATTTCAGCTAATCAATCAAAATTAAAAGTCATTTCCCTCCCGTCCCCTTCCCCGCCAACCAAAAGGTTTTGAGACTTCCCACCCCTCTCTAATAAAAGGTACCCACCCCAAACATATTAAAGCTTTTCTTTTCCTCTTCTTCCTCCACCCACCCTTCCCAACCTAAAGGTTCTGAGACTCTTCTTCCCCCACCTACCCATCCAACCAAAACCTATAGGTCTTTCCCAGATTATGCAAATGCGTCCCGCAGCGTTTCCCTCCAAATCTCCCTCTCTTTTTCTTCCCAAATAAATCCTTTTCAAAAAATGATATATGTCTTTGTTTTCCAGATTCCCCTTTTTTTAGCCGCAAACCCTTAAGATAGGAATAATATCTTTCTCACCCTTTTTATTTCCTCCCTCTCTTCAAAATTATTATTTTTTATATGGAAATAGGCAAATGCCTATATTTTTATTGTTTTTAATAATTTAATTTTTTATTTTTAATTATTTAAATATCTTTTCATGTGATTGGGGAAAATCGGGTAGGGTTTTTAATTTCTAGTCTTATAGATAATTTTTAATGATTTATCTTCTCCCTATTTTCTACATTTGCCATATCTTTCATTATTATTTTCTTCCCTATTTGTAGGTTTCCATTCCTATTTTGAGAAATTCCTTTCAAAAAATATCTATTATATGAAGTTGTATTTTTAATTTTCTATTAGTGATGGGGTAGATTGAAAAATAATGTTGGGGTAGAAAAATACTTGTAAATATTAGGGTCGGGTTTTCATAAATTCCTAGGGTCTTATTTTTTAAATTATTTATTCTAATTTTCAATTAATTGCCCTCCCTCAAATAATTACCCCACTTCCATTAATTACCCCATCCAGCGTAGATTGAAACAATAATTACTTCCAAACAAATACCCTAAAACACGTTCAAATTTCAAACCTCTATATAATTACCCTCCCTCGATTAATTACTCCCTCCAGCGGAGGGTCGAAACAATTATTCAGGGTAGTTATTAAAGGATATACGGTATTTTAACCTATTTTGAAAAAATCCCTTCCAAAAATCCCTATTACTTATATATGAAGTTGTATTTTTAATTTCATAATTCGCTCCACAGTGCCTTTTTAAAAATTCACTAAATCATTATCAAATTTAGTAGTTAGCGGCTACAGTAGTTAGTCTTCGGAGTAAAATTGTTAGTAGTCCAGTAGTTAGTCGCCCGGTAGTGGGGGCTCATGTATTTGTGGGTGCACTCAAAAATAGGTGCCTCTTTTTTTTCACCAACTCAGTCAAAAATTTCGAAGCTAATAATCCAGATTTCTTCTATTTTCACCGCACAAAAACTTTTGTGTACAACTCTTGTCTAACTCTTTCTAACTCTCTCTGTACAACTCTTGTCTAACTCTTTCTAACTCTCTCTGTACAACTCTTGTCTAACTCTTTATTAATTTAATGTACATCTCACTTTAGTGTACACCTCATCAAATACTTTATGTTTGACATCTGGGGATATATCTATAGTATACCATTTGGGGAGATGCACATTTGACCGAAATGTATTTTGGTGAAATGTATTTGTATCATTTGATTCCTTGTTTATCTGGGGTATAAAAAGGGGCGATTTATTGAAAAATCCTTCATTATTTAAAAATGTCCGATATAAAATTTCCAAAAATACTACCTGAGATTGAGTTTAATATCTCGTCTACAGGGATTACAATTTCCAGTGTCCGCTATACAACTCCCCGTTTTCTTCCTTACGACCAAGGAGGGAAATGTCGTAAGTGCAAGAGCACTGAAGTCGAATTAGATTTTATTATAGTAAAGGAAGGGGTGGTAGTCTATTGCACCCGCTTTGAAGGAAGTCGATTTGTTCCCTTCGATTCCTTATACGATTTACCGGGTCATTGCTTCTTCAAAGTAAAGAACAAAGGCCGAGTCTTTAATGTACCTTACAATGATACTACTCAGATTCAATATCCCAAAACTGAACCAACTGAACCTCAACCTACCCAAATTCTCCCCACAATACCCGAAGAAGTGACACAAACACCCCAACCCTTGGATAATCTTCCAACAATGGATGAGTTGGATGATTTCTTTCAGAGTCTAGATGCATCAGTGACAGGCATACCAACCGATTAAAATGATATTTAAGTGAAAATTCATATATCCATAATTATTCATTATGAATTCATTAGCTTTCTCGGATAAAGATTTAAAATTTAAATTACCTTTTGGTATGATTATATCTGGTCCTAGTTCAAGTGGTAAAAGTACCCTCCTACTAAAACTAATATCTGAAGCTCAAGAATTAATTAACCCAAAACCAGATTCTATACTTTACTGTTTCGGGGAAATGAACAATATTGTACCGCTTTTACAAAAATCTGGAGTTGATGTGTTTTCTGGGGTTCCACCTGAAGATCTAATTAAAAAATAACCAAAACCTCTTTTACTAATTCTCGATGATTTGAATCTTTCTATTGATGAAAAATATCTATCTGAATTGTTTACCAAAAAATCTCATCATCAAAATTTTTCTATAATTTTTGTTACACAAAATTTATTCGATAAAAAAATCAAAGTAGCACGACAAAATTCTCAGTACCTCATGTTAATGAGGGCACCAAATTCAATGCTATCCATCAGAAACATAGGGGTGCACCTATTTCCAAAACAGTTGGACTATTTTCTAGACTCATATCGGCAGGCAACCAAGCAACCTTATGGTTACTTGCTCATTGATATGCATGCTTCCTCAGATCCTACCCTGCGTCTTAGGACCAACATATTTAAGGAAGATGATGAAAAGATAATTTTCTTTCCAAAAAATGGTTAATCAATTAATTTCTGAAAACCTAAAATTTTTACATTTATTGTCAAAGACCAAATCTAGGAGAAAAAGGAAAAGACTCTTAAAATTGTCAAATAGTGAACAACTTTTAGCATTAGCCGAAATTTGCTTGAATATAGTAAAAGAGAGGTTCAAACTTACAACACGCCAAAAGAAAAGATTATTACCCCATGCAGAATTTGTACGAAGTTTGAGTAGGGTTAGGAGTGAACGGGGAGCCAGACATGTTATTAATCAAAAAGGTGACGGAGTGGGTGTCTTTGCAGCCCTCTTAACACCCGTTCTCCTTGAAATGGCTAGGATGCTGACTATAAAAACCCATGACACATCTTAATTTAAAATTAAAATTATGGCTAATAAATTTATTCTAGTTCCTGAGGAAATTTACAAAGGTTTGACAACCCAAGATTCAGGGGAACCAAACTTGGATTTTATTCGTCAAGGTTTAGAGAAAACAAAATTGAAAAGGGAGACACCTAGTGCAAAAAATGTACACTATAATCAGGAGCTTAGGCGATATTTGCAATTAAGAAACGAGCAGCAAAATAGACCGGTTAAGGTGGAGATGGTTGCTAGTCCAAAGGGTGCAATTATGAATACTACAACCTCCCTTCCGGCTTCAAATATTGGGGAAGACGACGATAATATATGGATGAGTGATGATATGTCCTTTAGTTCGTATCCAAAAGAGACACCATCTTATAACATTATACCACCTATCCTACCAGATATTAAGCCTACAATTACATTAAAACCAAAAAAATCTACTACTTATTACAAACCCCCGAAAAGAAAAAGAGGTGAAGAGGAGATAGGTAGCAATAAAAGAAGACCTTTGATAGATTACGAAATCAAACCAATTAAAAAAGAAATAGGTGATGATGGTTTTGATGACTATAGAAAGAAGGAAAAGAAAAGACAATATTTAGAAAGGAAGAAGGCTATCAGAGAACAAAAAATATCCTATACCCCACAGTACCATAAAGAGGTTACATATGTTCCACCACCACCACCACCATCACAAGGAACAAAAAGGTTACAGTATATTAATATTGAGGAAGGTAAAAGGAAAAGGATTGATGAGTTAGAGCAGAAAAAGGAAAACCTACGAAAAATAAAAGAGGATCAAAGGCTAGAAAATATTAGGAAAGGGAAAAAGGAAAGGGAATTAAAAAGAAGTGGTATAAGAAAACTAAAAATCCCCCTAGACCAATCAGCAATGTTAAAGGCTAGACAAGAGGATGATATTCGAAGGCGTCAAAAGTTAAAACGAAAGTGGCAAGGTCCCGACGAAAGCCCCTTCTTAACGTTAAAGAGAGTCAAACCCGTTACGAAAAAACAATCCGCAAGAGCAAGCAAAGAATGGATGCAGAGGCTTATAAAAACCAAACGCAAAGCAAGTAACAAATCATTTAAACCTTCATTGTGGTAAAATGGGTGATTATACTAAACTTTTACAAGATTTGTACAATAATCCAGAGTCTCCAGCTGCCTTTTCAGGTGTGGATAGACTATGGAAGGAGGCTAGAAAAGTACTAAAACATATACCTAGAAACGTTGTGCAAGATTATTTAGAAGGGCACAGGACTTATACTTTAATGCGACCGAGACGTATTCATTTTAACAGAGCCTTGACAATACCCGCAGGCTTTATGACAGACGTCCAAGTAGATTTGGCTGATTTTCAAGCAATCGCAAGACATAACAAAGGGAATAAATATTTACTTTTGGGAATTGATGTTTTATCTAAGAGAATATTTGGGGTACCAGTAAAATCAAAAACGGCAGAGAATATGGTATCCGCGTTCACAGAGTTAATAAAACAAATGCCTATGAAACCACACCGTATATTTTCAGATAAGGGAAAGGAATTTAAAAATTCTCAAATGAACGAATTTTTTCAAAATGAGGAAATTCACAAGATGGAACCAACTCACTCCACAGTAAAAGCTGCACTAGCTGAAAGGGCTATTAGACATATCAAACAACGTATTTACCGCTACTTTGCCCAAAATAAGACCTTAGACTGGATTCAAGTCCTCCCTGAAATTTTAGAAGGAATAAATAAAGCAAAAAGTAGGGTACACGGAATGAGACCTATTGATGTTAATTTTGACAATGCTCAGGAAGTATGGAAGAAGGTATATGGAGATGTTTTTTCAGATAAAAAGACAACCCCAAAACTTAAAAAAGGAGATTATGTTCGAATGAGTCTTGGAAAAGGAGTGTTCGAAAAGGGTTCTATTCCAAACTGGGGTGATGAAATACTCCAAGTAGAAAAGGTTAAAGGACATGTTCATCCAATTCGTTACAAAGTCCAAGATGATAAAGGTGAAAAGTTCAAAGGATCATTTTACGGAGAGGAATTAGCTCGCGTTCGTAAGGATGCTGATACTGAATATAGAATAGAAAAGGTTGTAAGAAAGAAAAAGAGACCGGATGGGACTTACGATCTTTTAGTAAAATTTATAGGTTATCCCGAAAGAGAATGGATCCATGAGACCCAACTAGTATAAAAGCTCATTTAATTGTTCATTATTTCATTTTTGATAAAAATGTCAAATACTTTCTTTGTTTTTCTTCCTAGTAATGTTTCCGATTATCCAGATAATCGACCAAATAAATTTCGCGTCCATCTACCTAGACCTCTTTATTTTTCTGGAGACTGGGTATGTGGTTTGCATAGTATAAGTTATCCATATTCATGGCCCTCAACTATTGGTACCCTTGATGAGCAATGGATTGACATCCATTTTACCAAAACTGATGGAAGGGCTAGTATTATTCGTGTACCCGTTCCCAAAGGTTCACACACCACTGTAGAAGATTTACATAGATTTTTATTATCTACTTTAGAACACCAAGTAGGAGCTATAGAAGGATCATCCTTGGAAAAACCCGAGACACTAGTCAAACCTCCAAGTGTCCGAAGACCAAAACGTAGTGTATCCCCTGAAGGAGAACTTAGGATGCCATCTCCTTCATCATCGGCCGAAGAGGAAGAAGGAGAACTTAGAGAACAATCCCCTTCATCCTCTGCAGAAAGGGAAATAGAATCCCGTAGGTCATCTCCTAAACTTACCAAAATAATCCCGACCCCTCAACCTCCAAAACCCTCACCACAGCCTCCAAAGCCTTCACCTTCAAAACCTATTCCAGAAACTCCAAAACCAACACCACAACCTCCAAAGCCTTTACCTTCAAAACCTATTCCAGAAACTCCAAAACCTATTCCAGAAACTCCAAAACCTACACCACAACCTCCAAAACTTTCACCTGAACCTCCGAAACATATTCCAAAAACTCCAAAACCCACTTCACAAACTCCACCAGCAACTTCTCAAACACCAAAGCCCGCTCCACAACCTCCAAATCCTACAACCCCTCAACCTCCGAAACCCTCTCCTCAACCACCAAAACCCTCTCCTCAACCACCAGAACCAGTTCCACAAACACCAAAACCCTCTCCACAACCACCAAAACCTTCTCAACCACCAGAACTAACTCCTCAAACACCAAAACCCGTTCCACAACCTCCAAAGCCTACAACACCTCAACCTCCGAAACCCACTCCTCAACCACCAGAACCGACTCCTCAAACACCAAAACCCGTTACACAACCTCCAAAGCCTACAACACCTCAATCTCTGAAACCCTCTCCTCAACCACCTCAGCCAACTCCTCAAACACCAAAACCCACTCCACAACCTCCAAAGCCTACAACTGAACCTCTAAAACCCTCTCCTCAACAACCAAAACCCTCTCCTCAGCCACCAAAACCAACTCCTCAACCACCAAAACCAACTCCCCAAACACCAAAACCCACTCCTACCATTCCTCAACCTCCAAAACAAACTTTACCCACTTCTCTTTCTCTAACACAAGATAACGAGGAGGAATCAAGAACTCCATCTCCCTCATCTTCAACTAAATCTTCAACCGAACTTCCACAACTCCCTAAACCTGAAGCTACATTTAATGACCCTTTATGGACTGAAGAATATGAACGAGTACTTACACATGTACTCGCTAATCTCGGACAGAAAATAACTCCACAAGCAAGGATAAATTATTTACCAAATATGCCCATCCTTGTAAGGAAATATGGTAAAGTAAACAAAGTAGACTCAACTACACAAAAGCAAATTATAGATTCGATAGAATTATTCTATCATAGTGACTTTGAGCGTTTCAAAGTCACATTCACTCACCCAAGCATAAAATATGTTTCCTTTTCAAATCAATTAGGCTATGTATTAGGCTTTCAAAATCCAAATATGGTACTAAACAATGAAATTGCCAAGTACGGTTGTGATTTACGAGGAGGTTTCTCAAGTTTCGCTGTTTATTCCAAAGGACTTACTGAAAGTATGATAATAGGGAATTCACTTAGTTCACTCCTAAGAGTTGTTTCTGTAGCAGGAGCCACCCCAGGACAATATTATGAGAAAATATATGATTCACCAATTTACGCACGGGTTTTACCTAAGGAAGTTAATGAAATTGAGATTGAACTCAGAACGATGGATAACGGTCGACCTGTACCATTTGAATTCGGTACAGTGCTCCTGGTCCTAATATTTAAGAAGGTGATAAATTTCTGATTTTCATTTACAAATTAAAAATGGTCCACATTTTATTTGATACAAGTACTGTGAGTTATGACGATTTTATTCTTCCAATGAAAGGAGGAGGAATTACTGATGACTATTTTAAAGGTGCAGCTCCCTTTCAGAGAGGTTATGGTCAAAGAGGAGCAGGCATTGGGGATATTATGAGAGGACTTTGGAGATTTTTCCTACCAATTATGCGGAGTGTAGGCACTACTGTTTCAGCAGAGGCACTAAATACAGGTCAACGTGCATTAGGAAGGGTACTTCAAGGAGAACCTATAAAAGAAGCTCTAGTCAGTGAAGGGAAGAAAGGGATAGATACCGTGCTTGAGAAAGGAGGCTTACCTAAACAATTTGGATCTGGAAGGGGTATAAAAAGGAAACCAATCCGCAGTCATCAAACAGTTATTAAAAGGAAACGATTAAAATCTGACGCTTTTGGTTTTTATTAAACATGAGTTTTCATAAAATTGATCGTGATAGTATAAATTCTATTACAAATGCTCTTGATTTTTTCCAAGTACCACCAACAAATGTAAGCATTTCTTCATCCAAAGTCTTTGAAATCTTACCAAGTAATCCTGTTACTGATACACCAATTCATTTTAAGATTCATAGTAGTCAAAATTACATAGACCTATCAAAAGTATATTTGTTTACTGAATTTCGTATAAAAAAGGAAAGTGAAGATGGAAAATTGATCAAACTGGCTGCTACAGATAATGTAGCACCTATACAGCTAATAGGTCAGACATTTATAAATAATATGCGAATTACTGTAAATGGAAGGGAAATTTTTAATTCAAACTCACTCTACGCCTACAAGACTTACTTTTCTCACGAATTATCTTATTCGCAAGGGGCAAAAAGTTCTCATTTAAACGCTGCAGGATATTTCTATGACTCAGACTTAAAACTTGAGGATGGCTCAGCGTACAATACAAGAAAAAATTTATTTTCTTCGAGTAAAACAGCACAATTCATTTCAAAACTTGATGCAGATATATTCAACCAACCTGTCGAAAATTTCTTGAATTTTCGTCGAAGGATGAAAATTAATAAAATTATTAATTTTCCTTTTTATTTTGTATGACATCACTTTTTAGTGATCGTTATCGCCTACTTTGCTCTTTCTCTCTTTTTTCATAAAATGGATAAATTTATCCATTTTATCTTAAATTCCAATCTAAAAATTATTAATAATTTCATCCAAAAGGGAAAAAAAGGGAGAAAGTGCATTTCCGCCAACTTTATTAAAAACATGTAATTTTTTTATATATTTTCCACTTTTTCCATTGCCCCAACATTCTTTACCACACACATTAATTCTGGCCTATTTAAGCCAATTTTTTCCCCTTACACCAACTTTCGTTCAATCATTTTAACATTTGCCTAATTATTCCTACCAGCCTTTTAATAACCACACACACATACAATTATAATTTTTTTAATTAAATAAATATTTTTTAATATTCTTGTCTTTATTATTCTTTGGTAATATTTTGTGAATATTCTTTGGGAATATTCAATTGTTCGTCTATCGTCTAAACTTGGCCATCCATCCAAACCTTCGCCTAATCGTCTAACATCTTTTTTGGTTTGCCACGTCTTAATCTTTGGGATTAAGACGCTCATCGACTTCAACACACTTTCGACTATTGTTTTTAGCGGCGAACGACCTAATTCCCTCTTGGGAATCCCGACCTAGGAAGTTCCCGTTAAAATTGGTGCCACGACCCGGGACAGCCGTCGACATTCATCAGTCAACACAAACACAAAACAACAACCAAACCGACCTTTGAAGTCGGCACATTTCGACTAATTGTTCGTCTGCGCCAAAAGGATCAGCCGTCGTCAAAGACCCACATTCCCAGCAGAACAAACGACTATTAGTTGAGCAAGTACAGCGACCACCAGCCGTCTAACTGTACACCATTAGTTTTATTTGGCAAACCGCGTCTAACCAACCATCAATGGCACGTATTATACGTCAAGAACTTTATGGAACGACAAGAGCACTCGTCGAACACCTCAAAATCGCCGAATCTTGCATCGTCCAACTCAAATCAAAACCGTCAATAGAGAAGGAAGATGAATTGGCAGCATCAGTGGAGATGGAACTCGTCCATCTAACGGAACGAACAAATGAACTCAAAACAATCATCAGCAAATACAATCAATTTATGGATGGCCTCGACGAACAACAGCAGAACGAACATGCAGACTACCTCGCCAATTTCTTAACATACGACAAAAATTCCGACCAGAATCTGGAGAATTCAGAACAATGGCCAGTATCAAAATTGGTCATCAGAGCAAGTGAAGTGATCAACCGGATCAAAGCGTATAGAGTTATTCGACAAATGACGACAGAGAGCAACAGCAATAATTCGCCAAGAGCGCCTAGTATACAAGGATCAACATCAGCGAACATGGTCGACAATCAAATTCCACTCCGGCAAGAAAGGCGTCAATTTTTATCAGACGATGAAGAAGAAAATGAATGGAGGCAAAATCGACGAATGCGTCAACCCAGTGCGCCAGACTTTGAAGAACCGAGTATTGGAAATCAGCATGAGACATCACGTCAAACTTACGACTATCAGCATACCAACTCATTCCAGCAACCACAATATGGCCTCCCATTGTGCAATGCTTTGAAGGTCGACAGCGTCCGTCTACCAACATTTGGCGGCGACATACGTGATTGGCGCACCTTTTGGGCAGCTTTTGAACATGCAGTCGACAAGCAACAGTATCCGTCTTTTCAGAAGCATCTCCTGCTTCTGCAATACCTCAAAGAAGGATCGGCGGCCAGAGAAGCGATTAGTGGTTATCCACCTTCCGACGACAATTACAAAATCGTCAAGGAAATTCTAAAGAAGAAGTATGGTAACGACGACCAACTTAGCAACCAACTTCAGGCACAACTTCTCAAACTTCCGCCCATCAGGAACAACCTTCGCGAACTCACTCAGTTCCAGAAGGACATTGAAAGAATTTGCCTGCAGCTAGAATATTTGGACAACCAATCGCCTATGTTTTTGTGCAACATCATCAAGTCCAAACTTCCCCATGGAATTCTTCAGGAACTCATCGCAAAAGAACTTGACTCGCCTAAGAAGTGGACACACAAAGAATTGCGGCGAGCTTTGGAAAACATCGTCAATATTCGCCAAGCCACCGACGAATGCATGAATTCATTTCACGACGAACCACCACGTCGACAAGAAGTGCGAAGAAATGAGCAACCACAGATGCGCCAAGAGGTTCGACAATTTCCACGTCAAATGGAACATACCAGGGCATTTCCTGTATTCGCCAACGCCAATAACGCCAACGCCAATAACGCTAACGCCAATTACGCTAACCGGGAGGAACAAAATCTTCCTCAATCATGTTCCTTATGCGCCGTTGTTGGACATCGACCAAGCAGATGCCCCTCATATTCGACACCTCAACAGCGCAAAGTTCGTCTATTGGAACAGGGCCGATGTTTAAAATGCCTTCAGCAAAGTCATACGACAGATGAATGCCAGCGATCTTTTATTTGCCGACAGTGTGGAGGCGACGACCATCACTTCCTCATCTGCATACCACCACAGGCGAAAATTGGATATCCAACACCTCAAGCTGTCTCATATGCGCCACGTCTAGCCCTACAATCATCATCTGTTCAATCGCCTACACCACCGGCAAGATCAATGCAACATACAGTTTCTAAGTTGCCTCAACGCCAAACACCACCGCGCCGAAATGATCGACCAATGCCAAAAGTAACTGGTGGAAATGCGACAGCACTCAACAATCAACGTGCTACGACGACAATGAGTTCACTCCAAGAAGCAACAGACTCTGTTAAAGAAGAGACTACACCACCAGTCAATGAAATTCAAAAGGAAGCAAATGAACCTGAAGAAGTCAAAGAAGAAGCAAGAGAAGCACCTGACTCGTCAACTTATTTGACTGCACGACAAAACGACAACAAAACTCATTTAATGACAATCATCATCAACGTCTCGTGCCCGGGAGGTCCAAGAGAAGGAATTCCAGCAATGGTCTTCTTCGACTCAGGAAGCCAAACAAGCTACATCGCCAAAGAACTCGTCAATCGCCTTCAGCCGCCAAAACTTTCTGAAGAAGTACTTCGCATACACACCTTTGCGAATCAAAATCCGAAGACCGTCCATTCACCACTCGTCTCAATTCGTCTAAAACGTCAAGACGGCGAATGGGAGCCGATGCAGCTTAACACCATCGACGAAATTTCTACTTCAATGGAAACCTTCCAATTCATTGGACAAGACGACTGCGTCGAACCGGTTAAAGGAACACCATCAATATTAATTGGCATTCGTGAATTCTGGAAATTCGTCACCGGCTTTCAACAACTTGGCCCCAAGCTCTACAAAATTCAAACCGTCTTTGGAGACGTCTTAGGAGGTGAATCTTGCTTCAACACGACTAACTCGCCTAAAACATTCATGGCACTCACCGACGACGACAAAGAAGATATTCTTAAACCAAATGACGTCGAGAATTTTTGGGCACTTGAGTCTATTGGAATCAAGGAGAACCCGGCTGAGAAAGACGACGACACCGCCATGCGACTATTTGAACAATCAATACGTCAAAAACCCAATGGCACTTACACTGTTCGTCTACCTTGGAGGGAACCTCGACCAACCATCAACTCAAATTGGACAATGGCTTATAGCCGCCTTCAATCTAACATCAAACGCCTAATTCAATCGCCCGAACTTCTCGCCAAATACGACAAAAACCTGCGCGACCAAGAAGAGAAAGGAATAATTGAAGAAACCGGCCGCGACAAAGAAGAATTCTTCATGCCTCATCACGCTGTCATCAATCCAAAGAAGTTAAGGATCGTCTTAGATGCTAGTGCTCATCCCAACGGAGCAGCAAGCCTCAATCAAGCCTTATACCGAGGACCTGTGCTACTACCAACACTCGTCGGTATGCTTATGCGTTGGAGAACATGCCTTATTCCAATATTGTCTGACGTCCAAGCTGCCTTTCACACCATCGAAATGCTACCTGAGGATCGCCAATTTTGCAAAATTCTTTGGCTGCGCGATGTGAATAAGCCAATCACCACAGACAACTTAGTCGTCAAACGATACACCAAAATGGTCTTTGGTGTCATCTCATCACCTTTCGTCCTAGCAGCAGTCTTATTACATCACTACGCCAAATTCAACACAGCATTATCAAAAGAAATGGCAAAGAACACGTACGTCGACAACATCCTCTTTCAATGCTCAACAGAAGAAGAGGCCCTCGACAAAATGAAGACCGCCAAAGAAATATTTAAGAAGGCAGCAATGAATCTCCGAGAATTCCTCAGCCACCGACAAACAATCATGGAACAAATACCAGAAGAAGACCGACTTGACAAAGCCAAAGCTCAAGTCTTGGGCATCAAATGGGA